GAGGAGGAGGAGGAGGAGGAGGAGGAGGAAGACTGTGGGATCAAGGCCAAAGGCAGCACCAAGTCCGAATTTCTCAGAGCTTGAACTGACCAGATGAACGAATTGCTTCCTGCAAAGGATCACGTCTCGTTCGCTCCTCTTTTATGTCTTATGGGAGGGGCCAATCATCTCCAAGCCTTACTCCCAAGTCGCCCCTTATGCTCTTAACTGCTCTTGCCTTCTGGCAGCTCTGCGCATGGACACACTGGGAACAGGCTCCAGCTGTTCTTCTGCCTCACTGATGTTTGACTCTGAAGGCAGCTGATAACTGTCATACGGCTCTGGCCCCCTCTCTGCCTCCGACACAGAGCCCTCATCCGAGCCTTCCCCAGACTCCAGCACTGGCCCATCTTCCTCCCCAACCTCCTCACTGTCCGAATCTGCCGCCAGATCCGCAAGCTGCTGGCGGACCACAACACATTTATCTCACACACACATACACCCCAAAACAAACGCCAAGAGCTGGAAACCACTCTGGAGACCAACCCAAAAGAAATCCATCCATATTTTAGGACTGGACCATGCGAGGAAAATTACCTCCCAGGCTGGTTCCCGCTAAGCCTCACAGATGAGGCCACAGTTCCTCTTAGTGTTAGTTGTTACTTCTGCCTCTTCTCTACTTTCAAGCCTTAAATCTCTTGCGGGGAGCCTCCACCTGCCTCTCCCGGAATTAATTTCTATTGCATGCTGAGAATGGGGATCTATTTTGGCCGTTAAGATGTCCGATGCAATTTTTATGAACTGCCAGGTTTTAACGTTGTACGTGTATAATTCATAGCGGCATATCCGGCTGCTCCTATATTCGGCGTCCCTCTCCATTCATCTCCCCTCCAATTTAGAAAAAGTTTCCAGAAAAAATGCTCAGCAGAAATTGGAAGATAATGCTGCGCCTTCTCAAATTTTGCGCACACAGAGAAAAAAAGAGATTTTATTGTTCCGGTATAAAAGCATTTTTTTAAAAAAATGGGGGGTGGAATTTAGTTTGGGTTCACAGGGGGGAGGGGGCACATTCTAGAGGACCAAAAGACAGCCGAGTTTTACATAGTTTGGTTGGGAGGGAGAGAATCAAGGCAGCCCCTACCTAGCAGTCCCCAAAATATAACAGAAGAGAATATTTATAGCTCAGGGCAGAACTGTGGGGTCCTTGATGCTTTCTGAGCTTGGTGGCTTTCTTGCAGATGTTTCATGACCCAATTAGGGAACAACATGAGTGCTAGAAGGGGGGGTTGCAAGGAGGAGGAGGAGGAAGAAGAAGAAGAAGACAATGATGACAGTGGGGTCCCTTGTGCTC